GTGGCCTGGCTGTCCCAGCACAACTTCCCCCACGGCGCTGTCTCCTTCTGCGACGGGCTCACCCACGACCCACTGCGCCAGAAAGCTGCCTTCCTGCAGAGCCTGCGCACTGAGGTGGGCACGGGGCACTGGCAGGGGGGACACAGGGCTGGGGGCAGTGGCAGAGTGGGCTGTGCTGCAGCCTGTGCAGCTCTGCGTCCCCACGGAGACACTGGGAGCTGGACCACCCTGCCATGGTGGAGCTGGCAGCCTCTGGGGGCAGCCCCCAGCCATCCCTCATAGCACAAGGGTATCCCAGCCCATGGGGTGGCTGTCCCTGTGGGAAGGGTCTTTCCGTGCCCTAACACTCCTGTCCCTGGGCAGGCAGAGATCTCCATCATCGCTGGGTACGGCTCCACCAAGGATGTCTCAGTCTACAGCTCGCTGGGCCTCGCACCAGCACACATCTACATCGTGGGACGGGCCGTCAAGAAGTTCCACAACCAGTGCCAGGTATGATGGTGGCAGGGTTGGGGACAGGCTGGGGACACGGCATGATGGCTGACCCCACCAGCCGGCCGCCGCCGTGGGCTCAGGCTGTCCATGTGTCCCGCAGTTTCTCTCCGAGGGCTATGTCGCCCACCTGGCCCAGCTGGAAGCAGCAGCTCTGGCCCACTCCCCCAAGGGGCCCCCACGACCCGTGCTGGGCAAAGGCACCTACGGCTGCCCAGCGCCCGTCGACTTCCTCCGGAAGCAGAGCCAGCTGCTGCGCTCCCGGGGCTCCAGCCAGGCAGAGCGGGATGGGGGGCCCCCCTCGGCGCCCCCCGGCTTGGCCCGGGCCAAGCCCCGCAGCGTCAGCCTCAAGCTGGAGGGTGAGGAGTGAGGGTGGCACAGCCATGTCCCCCCTCTGCTGTGATCCCTAATTTCCCAGCCAGCAGCACCTGGGGCCGGAGCCGGCACTGAGCCATGAGCCCATAGGAAGGAGATGAGGGCGCTGGGTCCCCTGTGACCAAGGGGTGCTGGGAGACAGCACTCCGAGCCCCCCCCGAGGGCCAGAGTGATCCCCTTGGGGCTGAGCCCCCCCGGGTCCCCCCAGCTGCCCCCAGCCCCGTCCCCCCCATGTCCCTTGGGGCTGTTGGGCAGTGCCTGGTGGAGTCTGTGCCCTGGGGTCACTGTCCCTGTGCAGAACTGGGGGGCTGTGGCTGTGCCCCAAGGCAAGTGGCACCTCCCTGCTCCCCACCTATTTATTTCCGTCCGGTGTCGCGGGGCAGGGCTGGGTTGGGGTTCCAGAGCGGTTCCTCTGTTCCCCCCGTTTCGTTTCGGTGTTGAATAAAGAGATGTTACGACGAGGCGCCGGTGTCCCCGTGCCTGCTCTGTACCCGCTGCCCCTGGACATGGCCCCAGCACTCCCACCCTCTGGGAAAGCCCTGGGGTGCCCTCAGGGACACGGAGTCACGCAGGGAGGTGGCCTTGGGGCACAGCAATTTAGGACAAGGAGAAAAGCCTGGGGTGTGTGGGCTGCGCCGCTGCTCTGGGGTATGTACCGATAACCTCCTCCAGCCCTCTTCCTGCCTCTCTCCAACTTTTTTTCCTTCATTTACCTCTAACAGCAAATTTTCAGTGACCAGGGGCTGTGACTGGTTTTACTTGAGTTTATCTTGTCATAGCACGACTGGAGGTTTATAGAGATAGCAGGAACAAGCTGTTATTCTATATAAAATATTCCCGACGCTGACATGATGAGAGGAAACACTGGTTTGGGGTGATAGCAGCAGCCTGGAGAAGTGACAACAGTGTGGCACAGAGAACAGGCAGGAAGGGGTTGGAGCTGGGGCCGAGGCTGTGTGGCCACCATAAAGTATAAAAACGTCAAATAAGGGATACAAGTTGGCAGGGAGCAGCGGGCTCCTGTCACCCACGTGTCCCTGGTGTGACAATGAGCAGAGTCTAGAGCCCAGCAGAGCTTCAGCCGTGTGCTGCGATGCTTTACGCTGCCACTTAAGTGCCTGGCCTTGTCCCTGGGCCACGGCGAGCTCCAGGGCCACTTCCACTGACTTCAAATAAGTAAATTCTGTATTAAACATTAATAAACATCCATGACCATTCCACATGTGGAAT